CAATTACAATCTTTCCATCAAGAGATGGATTCACTTTAGGTTCAATTGATGGTAGAGGACATTAAACTAATATAACAACTAAATCAAATTAAGGTATGCCTACTGAATATTAATTAAAATCAATAATGACTTTTAAAGCTCATAAAGTATATATATAATTTTTATATTAGGTTGAAGATAATTAAAAAGGTAAAATTCAAAACTATTTCTTTCCTGTTAATTCTATCTAAATGAATATCAAAAATAATCATTTTCTTATGACTGCAGGAGGAGAAGGTTAGATGATCTTTTGGGATATTAATATAAGGAATAAAATTAGAACATTTCAATTTAATTGTAATCCTATAGTATGTGCTAAAATGAGTCCTGATGGTTCCATACTAGCATATGCTTTAGGAAATGATTTTTCAAAAGGTCCTGAATATTTTAATGAATTTTAACCTAAAATTTTTGTTCATTTCATCCCAGATAATGAATTAAAGTACCCTAAAAATTGATATATATTTTTATATATTTATTCATTATTTTTTTACTTATAATTACATCTCACTATATTAATTTTACAGTTATCATTAAGAAATATATAAAATCTAATTAAAATGTATTATTTTTTTTGAAATTGAGTTTTTAAGTGATAGATTACTATTGGATTCTGATAATAATTTTTAATAATAAATGATAATTTCTAATTACTTGTATAAAATAAAAGAAATTATAGATTATAATCTTTAATAAATATAAGACTTATTAATTAATTTTTATTAAGTTTAATACTTGAGATTAAATCATCATGGGTGCTTCATAAGCATAAAAACTTCTTTAAAAAGCAATAGAAACAGATAATGTTGAAAATGCATAATAAGTTCTTAAATAATTCCCAGAATTATTAAATACAATACTCTATTCAGCTGGAAATATTACTCCTTTAGCAAGAGCATCATGGAGAGGATGCTTAGATATGGTTATGTTACTATGTGAAGGAGGAGCAAATTTAGATGCATCTGATAAAGATGGGTTGACTCCGTTAATGTGGGCAGCCAAAAGAGATCATGCAAATATTTGTTGCACATTATTAAGATTTCATGCAGACATTTCTAAAAGATCAAGAGAAGGATTTACAGCACTAGATTATGCTATTTTATTGGGTAATTATGATTCCGCTTATATTATTTATGAATTTGATAAATTGATCTAAGAAGCTTCAAGTTATGAATTAATAAGAACTATAAAATAATGGAGATATGTTAATTATGAAATTTTTCTTTAATCATTATAATAATCAATCATGCCTTAAAATGTTGGTGATTTCACAACAAAACCATTAGGTAAGGCATAATATAAATTTAATTTAAGGTCGAGTGTACAATGATCCAGTTGTAGATCCAAGAGAATCATGGAAAGATATGCTAAAAAGAATCATGAAATTTGATCCTCCCCCTATTTGTGAAAGAAATGAATTACCTCCTCATCTATAACCTTAAAATCGATTATTGGGAAGACTTAATAGTTACATATATGGCATGAATCCTATGCCTATAGAAGGTAATTCTATGGAAATGTAAGTACCTGAAACCAATGAAATTGCATGAAATAGAATTAATAATATTAATTTGATATTAATTTGAATAATATGATACTCATTTTAATGTGCTTTAATTAATCTTTTTGTCTTAACAAAATATATATTTTATCATATAATAGATTAAATAAGATAAATCGATATGTATAGAAAACATTAAATTATCTTATAATTATTATGTATTTAAATAGAAATTGCTAAAATTAGTATGTTAATAGTGATTATGATTATTATAATATAATTTTGTATATTTATCGATTTATATCATTCAAACTTTGGTTTGATGACACCAACATTATTGTAATATTCATCATGAATTTATGATCTATCGGTATATGTATGAGCAAAAATGAATGCTGATCCAAAGACTAGGAATGAATATAATTTAAATCTTTTCCAATTTTGATTTTACAAGTATCCTTATTTGAATACANATAATCTTTAATAAATATAAGACTTATTAATTAATTTTTATTAAGTTTAATACTTGAGATTAAATCATCATGGGTGCTTCATAAGCATAAAAACTTCTTTAAAAAGCAATAGAAACAGATAATGTTGAAAATGCATAATAAGTTCTTAAATAATTCCCAGAATTATTAAATACAATACTCTATTCAGCTGGAAATATTACTCCTTTAGCAAGAGCATCATGGAGAGGATGCTTAGATATGGTTATGTTACTATGTGAAGGAGGAGCAAATTTAGATGCATCTGATAAAGATGGGTTGACTCCGTTAATGTGGGCAGCCAAAAGAGATCATGCAAATATTTGTTGCACATTATTAAGATTTCATGCAGACATTTCTAAAAGATCAAGAGAAGGATTTACAGCACTAGATTATGCTATTTTATTGGGTAATTATGATTCCGCTTATATTATTTATGAATTTGATAAATTGATCTAAGAAGCTTCAAGTTATGAATTAATAAGAACTATAAAATAATGGAGATATGTTAATTATGAAATTTTTCTTTAATCATTATAATAATCAATCATGCCTTAAAATGTTGGTGATTTCACAACAAAACCATTAGGTAAGGCATAATATAAATTTAATTTAAGGTCGAGTGTACAATGATCCAGTTGTAGATCCAAGAGAATCATGGAAAGATATGCTAAAAAGAATCATGAAATTTGATCCTCCCCCTATTTGTGAAAGAAATGAATTACCTCCTCATCTATAACCTTAAAATCGATTATTGGGAAGACTTAATAGTTACATATATGGCATGAATCCTATGCCTATAGAAGGTAATTCTATGGAAATGTAAGTACCTGAAACCAATGAAATTGCATGAAATAGAATTAATAATATTAATTTGATATTAATTTGAATAATATGATACTCATTTTAATGTGCTTTAATTAATCTTTTTGTCTTAACAAAATATATATTTTATCATATAATAGATTAAATAAGATAAATCGATATGTATAGAAAACATTAAATTATCTTATAATTATTATGTATTTAAATAGAAATTGCTAAAATTAGTATGTTAATAGTGATTATGATTATTATAATATAATTTTGTATATTTATCGATTTATATCATTCAAACTTTGGTTTGATGACACCAACATTATTGTAATATTCATCATGAATTTATGATCTATCGGTATATGTATGAGCAAAAATGAATGCTGATCCAAAGACTAGGAATGAATATAATTTAAATCTTTTCCAATTTTGATTTTACAAGTATCCTTATTTGAATACAGCTTTATTCTTTGGTCTAAAATATAATTTTAGATAAATACTGATAATATGTTGGAACACCAGTTGTTGTTTATCTATAAAAATATGACACAGGGATGAACTGATAAATCAATATTAAATGTTACATATAATAAACTGAATACGATTCCAGAAGCAGCAAAGTTAAGGATCCATTCATATTTGAATGTATTTAATTTATCAGCATAATCCATTTTTCTTTCTCTTAAAGCCTCATTCATATAAAATTTATAGAGTGGTTGATCATAGAAAGACTTTTCTACTGTGGCTATATATCTCTTTTCTTAATCTCTATTTGGAATTGGTGGAATCTAATCTTCGAATCCCATTTTTAATAATTTTTATTATTAATATATATATCAATAAACTAATCTGAAGATATCATTATGCACGTATAAACCTCCTTAGCCATTTGGAAGAATTTAAAAACTTTATGAGAATTTGTATGTCTCAGCATCATCCATCTACAATTATCCAGTTACAAAAATGAATAAAGAATTCTCCAATGCTCCTGGTTAAATATCCATATCATCAATTTTATAAACTATTTTTTAAAAGGCCAATGATTCTAATTTCTCGTTGATTTATTTTAAGCCATCATGTTATTATCCACCTATAAATAATAAAAATATATGAAAAACCATATGTCATATGAGAGGCATCTGTATAAAATTAGATTAATCCCATTTTATTGGTCATTAAAGTCTAATAGTATTGTTAAAGGAATTGTTATGCAATGGTTTAGGCGGGATTCATAATTAAAAAAAAAAATAAAAATATTTTTAATGTTTTGAATTATTTAAATTTCTGTATTTATTCTGGAAAATAAACAAATTCAAATAATCATAAGAATATAAATAATTATATAAAAATAAAATATTTCATTTATTTGAATGATCACTCCAACCACTTATATTAAAATTCTTTTGTTAAATATACTTATTTTAAGATATTGATATATTTTGAATTTTAGGTTTAAAAGAATGTTAATAAGGTTAGATTGATAATCTACTAGATTAACTATTATCATTCCTATTTTAATGCTAAAAAACATTAGGTAGTATCACAGTAGCAATGGTTTATTACTTTATCAATTTATATTCTTCAATATATGAATTAAGGTCTAACTCTTTGTAACGAAAGGTTTGGGGCTTTTACTCAGTATAATGTTTATTGAAATCTTTATACACGGGTGTTTCGTATACCTTCTTTTTAATTATGCTTTATGTCACAAGATGGGATTTATAGATTTTTCTTTTTAGATTATAAGATTAATTTATTCTTAGCTGGAATTCCTTTTAAAGATCTAAATTTTTGACTTATTTATGGTATTTCAGTTGAGAAGCTCTTAATTTTATTTTATTTTTTTTGAGAGTTTTCTCTATTGGTAAAACTTTATTTGGGTAAACTTGCTGATTAGAAGTTTTTAGGCTCATAAAAATATATATGATATTCATACTAGATTGAATTTACAAGTGATTGACATTATCATTAGGTTATCTTTTTATAATGTTTTATTATAAGGCAAAGAGTCTAATTTTAGGGCGGATTTAATTGGATCTTTAATAGTATGTAAAAATATTTTAGTCACTAAATTCCTGATCAAGAGGAATAGACTAAATTAGTTTAAATATCTACTTATTATTCAATGTTTTTCATTATAATTAATATTATAAATAATTTAGTAGTAAGGATAGATGGATGATACTTTAGATAAATAGTAAGGAAATCAAGATTTAAATAATGAAGAAAAACATATCCTAGAATAAAAATGTATAATGCATTTAAAATATTGATAAGAATAAATATTGAATAATAGTGGTGTATTGGCTGCTTACGAATATTTTTTGAGACGGCTTTGTAAGGATGGTTTTCCAAGTGGAAATGTTTATGAGTATGCTGCATAAGCTGTTTTAAAATATGAAAAAAAGAAATAAGCTGAACAGTTTCGACAACAGACAATGGCTAAATCTTTGGCTGAACTTTAATTAAGTAGCATATCTTCAAATAAATTAAGATGAAAGACTCAAGGCATAGCTTTAAGCAAGTAAAATTGATGGTAAAGCAGATCCAAAAAATGATAAAAATGAAAAAAATAAATCACCTTAGAAAGGTAATAAAGATTAAAAGGAAAAAAATCCGTAAGATAAAAATTAAGGAAAAAATGATAAGAAAGACACAAAAGCATAAGGTATATTTTTTAATTATATTAAATAAGATAAAACAGATCCTAAATAAAAGAAGAAATGAGTTACATATTTTAATTTATTTCTTAAAATAAGTTATTATAATATAATACTGAAAATGATTAGTAAATAAGAGAGAGAGCTATTTATTTAAATAGTTATAATTAGAAGTAATCTCAAAAACTTTTATTTTAAGTGTTTAAAAATTATTGCTTTGTTATCAACTATTGACCACCTCTTTATAATCTTAGAACTGTTGCAATATCTAATTATTTAACAGCATAACTTCGTTATTTTTTATCTGCATAAGTTCTCAATAAAAAATACTATCTAGCATAATCTCCAGAATTAACATAAAGATGATATTCAATTAATTTTAAAAAAACCTTCTCCATTTCATTTATTTAAATGGTTGAAAACTATGGTAGTACTTTGGCAAAATTATTATTTTCAAATGATTCATCATCCCATATTTTAGAAGCCATAACTAAAGCTGTAAATAACATTTTCTGCCAATTCAAACAATTAATTTCTAATCCTTGATTATGTTCTAATAATCTATTTATATATATCATCGATATAATTGCTACTTCTCTTTCCATTTTAGTTGTTGTCATTATGTTTTTACAATAATTTTGAATGATATCTACATTTGGTATATAATTTGTCAACTACATATCAATAAATACTTTATTAAATAAAAATGATTCTTATTAATTTAGTGTTGTGTCAACTGAAAATTGTGATTTAGGTAATTACTAACTAAATAATAATATTAGATAATAACTTATTTTCATCATCAGGTTAGAATTATTAGTCCAAGTACTCTGACTGAGGATTATTATTTTATTATTCATTATTTTCTAAATCTTCAAGATAATCTAGTTCTTCATCTTAATATAATTTTTCTTATTTCACAGACTTCTTTTCATTAACGTCTTGCTGCGTTAGAAAATTCTAATCTTAAAAGTAATCTCCATCATTTTCATCATTTATGATATTCTAACCTAACATTATTATTATTTCATACTCTCTGATTAACTGGATACATTATCATCAACCTATTAGATTAAATTATTATTAATGTTTTGTATATTATCTAAATCTGCTTAAACCATCATTTTTTAAATTGAAATCCCAACACAATAACTTATTTCTTCTATGTCTATATTTATTAATGTTGATGCTAATCTTCCATTGTCAAAAGATTGATACATTAATTAGATTGATTCTCTTTCTAAATGTACTTCATTATTGTTTTTTCCATTAATCAGTAATAATTTATTAATAAATTTATTTGGTTTATCTTAATGAGTTTTTTAAAGAGACTATGTTTAGTTTTTTTAATTTGAAATAGGATTTTTAATGTTTTTGGATGTTGGTTTTGAAATACTCTCTTTTGTATTTAGTATCTATGCAACGTTATTAACTTATAAATCTATTTATTGAGTATTTATTTCATCAAATTAAGGACTCCTTTCTTTTTTTCCTTTACTTTAAACTTTTTCTAATTTTGGTAATACTCTTGGTTTGATTTAGGTCTATTCGTGGGAAGGTGAGAAATGTTTCATAGATGCTCTTCTATTTATTGGCTTAAGTATTTCCATGTATACTTCTTTAGTTTATTCAAATTATCCATGCGAATTTAATTAGCTCGGCAAAGTATTTCGATTTTAAGCAAAACTATTATAGTTTACTATTTTATTGTCATTGCCAGATTCTTAATGTTCATTTAATTGTTTGAATAAATCTATAAATTTTTATTTATGTCCAGGCAATAGTTTTATCTCTTATAAGACAATGTTTTATGAATCTTATGATTATTATGCTAATTATTGTAAACCACTCTTATATCCTCTTAACAATAATTTATTTGTATATTATTATAAATTGTACTCCACTAATTATCTATTATTACATTATTCTAATTACTTATACAGAATGCTATCTTTAAAACTTGTTTAATCTGAACGATGTGTTGCATTGCTACTATATTCAGTATCTCTATTGATTCTCTCTAAAATCAAAATGATATCAAATCATTACTTTTTGAAGCAGTATTTAATTTATTTTACATAGTTGATTTGACATTTAGAATTTTATTTACATAACTCTTTAATCTTGCATCATCATCCCATTTTTTCATCCTATTAATATTTTTTTTTTGATTATTTATTATAAATAATTATAATCATGAACATTCAAATAAAAAATTCTCTATCAAATATTTCTATATTATCTATCACTATTTTATAAAGTTTATCTATAAGCTAATCTTGCCCTACTCTAATTGAATATAATAAATACCAATAATTTCTATTTTGATTATTGATATCTATTTTCTTAAAAGCCAAATAATCCTCTAAGGATTCTAATTTGATTTAAAAAGTATTTTTTCTATTATGAAAACTAAATTTTGTTTCATTCTTATGATCTGTTGTTAAACTATAATTGCAGAGATTGTTTAAATCTTTCTAATTTAAAGACATCAAACGTTCAACTCTCAAAATATTTCTTTACTTTATTTTTTCTAATTATCTTTGGTCTTTATCTAATTTTTATATCAATGTTAGAGTTCTCTATTTTTATTTATCAAACTTATGTTGAAAAACCTGAGGATTCATTTATAAATTATTATTTCTTTTAATAATCGATTTTAAATATAAAATGTATAGCAAAATATAAGGAGCTTAATTGAGAGTTCACTTTAAATATTCTTATTAAAGAGTAGATCTATTTTTATAAATGTTTGAATTGACATTCTTATTATCTGTAGATTCCAAATTTATATAGAGAAATATCTATAAAATAAATAATTCAATTAACAGTTTAAAGTATTTTAAATTTAAATATAATGTATGACGCTCGACAGACGTACTTTGATAAAGATTCATCCCTTCATAATATCAGCAATCTTAGTGATAAAAAGGATTATCATTTTTATTAAAGAGATCTATTAGCAGAGTTAAATCATAGTTAATAAAGATTAACTGTTTAAGAATTGGAAAATAAAGTAGTTATGTTAGCTACTGAAAATGAAAGATTATTATCATAATTAAATGATAAAAATAGAGAAATTGAATTGTTATAAGAAGAATAAAGAATGTTATAGAATGCTTACTAATAATAGAAGGATGAGAGATATAGAACAATTGAAAATAGAACTACAAAAATGATATATGAAAATGAGAAGGTAGTTTTAATGAATTAGAGTTTATAAATCTAATTAGAAGAGCTATCTTATCAGTATGAATCATTATAAAAAAAGTTTTAAGTTGAAACTGAAATAATTGAATAAAAATGGAAAGCTCATTATGGAGAATTATATGAATAATAAAATAAGAATTTGACTGCAAATATTGAGAAGCTTCTAAATGAATTAAAATAAAATTCAGATCTTATTTAATCTTATGAAGAGAAATTAAAGAGTTATTCTAAAGAATTATAAATTGCTAAAGAATAAATTGATTATAAAGATAAAAAAGGAAATGAATTACTTAATAATAATCAATAAATCACTAATATTATTGAATAATAGGATGCAGTTATAAAGAAGAATACAGAAAAGATCTAATAATTATAAATATAATTAGAATAATAAATTAATGAGAATAGATAATAAAAATAGAAATTGATCAATTATGAAAAGGATATAGAGAATAGAAGAATAAAATATGAAGAATTGATTATTTAATTTGAAGAATTGAAATTATTAGAAAAAGAAGAAAGATTATAATTAGAAAAAAATGAATAAGAATTTTAACAATATAAAATTGAAATTAATTAAATGAAATCCAACTTAAATGAATTAAATAGAAATCATAAATTATAAAATTAAGAAAATTAACATAATTATAATAAGGAAATTAATAATCTTAAAAAGTAAGTTTAATAAGTAATTATGGAAAATGAGGATTTATAAAAACTACTTAATTAAACTAGATAAAATTTAAATTATGAAATTACTAAAACCAATAATCTAGAGAAATAATTAGCAGACAATGCTTAAGAAATTATAACTAAAGAATAATAATTACTTATGCAATATAAAGAATTAGAAGCTTAAAAATTAAAATTTGATAAACTATTCCAAGAGAATACATCATACTTAAAATAATAGTAAAACCAATTTGATATTAAATTGTTATAAAATTAACAATAAAATAAATTAGTAATTATTATTATTATAAAGTTAGTAAACAGAACAAATTTTACTATAAAAAAATAAAGAAATTAACAATCTAAATGAGAAAATCAATGTCTTATTATAGAAAATAGATGAATAGACTTCCTACATCTAATAATTAACTTATCAAAGTAATATGAAAGGTGAGGAAATTGAAGAAACTAGACCATAAATACAAAGTCTTAGAAATGAATTACATAGACTTTAATAACTAACAGTAGAATAGAGTAATGAGATAGATAATTGGAAATTAAAGACAATACGTATGGAAGAAAATTATGAAATGTAAAATAAAGATTAACTTGAGAAGTTATAACGATTTTAAGATGAAATACAATAACTTTAAACCAAATTAAATAAATTATAAGAAGAAAATATCAAAATAACAAATAATTTATAAGAAACTTTATCTAATTTAAATTAAATACAATAATTATTATCAGAAACCCATTAATAATTGAAATTTGCAGAAAATAAAATTGAAATTTAATCTCAAGAATTAGTTGAAACTATTTAATTAAGAGAATAAATGAATTTACTTAAAGAAAAACATCAAAAAGAAATTGAAGCTTTAAAAAAGGCTGTAGATTCAAGTTTGAAAGTTAAAATTGAAAAAGAGATTGCTTAAGAGAGAGAAAAACTTGAAAATTATTCTTAATAAATTACATTAGAAAAAAGAGGTTTAGAAAATGTTATTTAAAATTTAAATACAGAAAATTAGTTGTTAAAAACAGAGATAATGTAACAATAAGAATATTTTAAATTGCAAGTGTAAGATCTAATTGTAGATTAATAGAAGCATTTAATAAATATAGATCATGTATATAAGTAAAATAAATATTAACATATTAGATTAGAATTAAAAGGATTATCTGAAGCTTAATAAATTCAATACAATTCATTTGTTGCTCATTTGCATTCATAAATTGCATCATTAATAGAAGAGAATAAAAATTTAAAGGAATAATGTTAATAATGGTAATAATAACTAAAAAAATCTGAAAAGCAAAGTTCAAAACTAATTACTGAAATGGGTAATATATTATAATTAACTATATTAATAGAATGCCGAGTCTAATCATTAAAAAAAGATAACAGTAGACTAATTGATGAGAAATGTTAAGAAAAATCTAAGAGCAGATTTCTTGAGACTTAAATAAAGCGTTCTACTCCTGTTCGAGAAGTTCGGTCATCTTCAACCTATGTTATTGGAACTCCAATTAGGAATAGGAATGGTCGATAATCGGTTCTAAGAGAAATAGATTTAATTAATCATTATTATTGATATTTATTTAGTTTAAATATGTTGTAATAATCATCCTTTATCAATTTTCTATAAACTAAAAATTAAATTATATATTAATTTAATAAATTTTATTAAACATAAATTCTTAATCATAATATAAAAAATTTACATTAAAATTATTGAATAATTATTTTTTAAGTAAAATTATGATCAAGATTTCTTGGTTAATGTACTTATAGTGAGAGCAATTGCAGAATTTTAAGTTCTAGTTGAATCTTGAGGTTTATTGTAATGTAATATTTTTTTAACACTGAAAGTGGGCTCTTTCTTAATATTGATGACGGAAGTCTTTTTGTATCGTTGAGAACTAAATCATATTTGATGAATTTACAAATTTTGTTAATCTGGTATTTTTTCTAAGATAATATTTTTAGAAGACTTGCTTTTTAATTGATCCAGCATTTAATTATATGTTTCTTTAGATATTCCAATATGTCCGTGACTAGGACTCTGAGATGGAAGATCAGACAACGTTTTTCTGAATTAATTAAAAATAAATACTCTAACTTATGACTTATTTATAATATTTTAGCAGCCTACAATTCTAAAGTTTTTGAAGCTTAATTTGATACTCCCATTTAGATAGCTTAATCTTACATGGAGGATCTCTCTTTCTATAATGATATAATTTTATCCTCATATAAAGTTTTTAAGTCTTATATTTGTTTTTTATGTCTTGTTTACATTTCTTCAAGATGTTGATTGAATTAACTTTCTTGAACTAGTTATTACTCTGATTCTTGGACTTAAATTTATTCTTATAAATTCATAATGTCCTTTTTTAGGGTGATATTTTCTTCCTTTAAGTTTTAGTAATCTGCTACTTTTGCTTATAATAATAGTATTTATTTTTAAAGTAGTTAGATTTATTATTATAAGACTTCTACTTAAAGAGATAACTTGCCATTTTAGATGTTCAATTAGTGATTTAAAACTTGTAAATCTCCTGTTTAATTCATTTTTAATTTGATATTTATTAGACAATAAATCAGACTAATAAGTTCTTAATTAAAATGATTAGATCATAATATAAATTACATCTAAATTAAAATTCATAATTGATTATTTTATGATCTATGAATAGGTGAAATCTATAATCATTTTTTTGAAGTTTAATCCATAGACAGGAACAATATTTTTGGATTTTTGTTTTTGGCAATTTATTAAATAGTTTCAAAATATCTAATTTACATAGCTGCTTTGGAATCCAACATATCAGCAGCCTCTCTCATAAGTTTAGCAGCTTCAACGTCACTCTTTTTATTTATATAAAATATTACTTTTGCTGAAATTATTTTCGACTAAGCAAGTCTTTAAGCCTTAGGAGCATTAGAAAGGGAAGCTTATAATTCTTCTCCCATTTACATATCTTTGATAAAAATATGTTCTAAATAGATTCCTATATTGAATTTAACAAAATCTGATACCCCATTCTGAAACAACATCAAATACGAATCCTTCTATTTCATCAGCAATCTTTTATCTGTTCTCAATAATATCCTATAATGTATGTTCACCAGCAACTGTTCTAAGAGTCTGAAAATTAATAAATTATTACTGCAAAAGTTATTTCCTTAACTGCTTCAACAATTTTTTTAACTCTATAAGCTGATCTACATACATCAACAATTCTGTAATATACAATAGTGTCAATATTAACAGTAATATTGTCTTTAGACAATATTAGTTATCTTTCTAAATCGATGATACTTAAATATTAAATTGATTGTTTTACAATGTCTTTGTGCTTACAGTAATAATTCTATCTGTAAAACTAAAAAATCAATATTAATTAATTACGGATTGAATTCATGTAGTCCAGGTTCCAAAGTTCTTTGATATTTTCCAAATTTTTATAACAATCCTTTTTACCCTTAGGTTATTTCATAATAAGGATATGGACAAAAACAACAACAACATGGTAACCAGGCTCTTAAAGTTCCAAAAAAGGATCCAAAACAATTTAAAACATTTTCATAACAAGTCATTTATTCATTCATCCCATCATCCCTTCATCAATATATATAAAATTTACATTTCATTCTCAAAATTAGTTCTTGCTCTTCTTAATTATCTCTTTTCAGCAAAATTTGCTTCCCCTTATAACATTTAATATAGTAATTTAATTAATGGAATTCATTATCCATAATGGAAATTATTGAATCTTTTTCTAAAATGAAAATTAATTTATAATCATTATGATACTTCAATCAAAAATAATATAGATCAAAATCTCATTTCTCAAATGTTTAATTAACAACCATTGAATGTGCTAGTTAATTCACTATTTTTTCATTTTCAACATAAATCTTATTTGCATCTTTTACTTATATACACATATAAGATATTTACTATTATAATCTCTATAATTATTACTTTTCCATCTATTTCACAATTTATTTACTTCACTTCTGGTTCTATTATAAATACATCTGTTAATTCTCTAATTTTTTCATAAATTTCTTATGAAGCATTATAAATTGATAAACTAGCAAAATTTAATTTACTATCAACTATAACAAATCCAGCAGGCACTGTATTTTACTGTGTATAACTTACCAAACTTTTACTAGCTAAAATTAATCCTTTGTTTATTCCATCTTTGAGATCTCCTATAGTACACATTTAAAGTGGATGATCAAATCCTTTTGGTTATTCTCTTAAACCTATAGGGATTTATTTCACTATGTTCTATAGTTTTTTCTATGTTATTCTACATTTATTTGTAACCAAATCATATACTTTTAGTACTTTCTATTGAACTTACTTTAATGTATCATTTGTTAATGATTAATCAATCTTATTTGCCTTAGTATAATCATTAAAGGCTAATTGATAATCTTCAAAATAACAATGAATCTAAAATAAAAAAATATATATTACATTTCCTCTATTAAAATACAAATCAGGATTTTCTCTAGTTTAATTCTTTTCTGATTAATTGTAGGCAGATAAAGCTAAATTTAATTCATTATTATTTTTCTTTGGATTCATAAAATAATCAGAAAGGTATGCATTTCCAACCAAATACCAAGATTAGGCATTTTTTAAATCAAAAGTTAAAGCTTTCTTTGCAATTTCTAATGATTTTGTAACATTTTAACTCTTATCCTTTTGATCTCCAACCTGTCTCAACACAATAGACAAATATTATAGTGACTTGATATTATTAGGATCTTTTTCAATTGCAGTTTCAAAACATTATCTTGCTGCAACAAAATCCTTTTTCTTCCATAATATATGTCCTAGTGTATTTAAGCTGTCTATGTGAAAAGGATTTAATTTCATCTAAATTGATTTTGAATTAATATTACTGCTTTTGTAAGTGCCTCTTCAGCAAATTTTGAATATTCTGGTAGAATATCAGATGCCTTTCCTTTCAAAAAATATAGCTCTATTTTATGTTTCTTTGAGACTAATAAATTTTAATATTCAAATTACTCTCTAAATCTTCATTATCAATCAATGAGTCAATTTATTTAATTATTGATGTAACTTAAGACTTATAATGTTCTCCTTTTTGAAAATCATATTCTGCCTCTTCAGTTAGTTGATCAACTTAAAGCTTTAACTCTGAAAGTTTTTCCTCCATTTAAATTAATTAAAAATTAAAAAATTAATTAGAACATAAACTAGATATTCTATTCTTATGAATTTAATTGTTTATATTATAATAATATTAGAAAGGATAATACTTATATTAAAGTATTTTAGTTTATTATAATTGATAAAAATAAATATTAGTTTATAATTGTAATTGTCAAAATTCTAAAATCTAGATTATATGAAATACTAAATATTATATTGGAGTAGAAATTAAATTTTTACATTTTTGAATAAAATATTAAATAATATATGTTTGTCATTATAAAAATGTTATTGACGGATATGAATAATAAACAATGAATTATGGATAAAGATTATTTGTAATTTTTAAATAAATATATATATATTTAATAAGAACTATTGATAGATTAGATGTTATATCTATATTTTCAAAAAACTTTGTGTTCTTAAAATGTTGATAAAACTGCTTTAATTGTTTTAGCTGATAGTAGCTCAGTTAATTTATTAATATCTTTAGCTAATTTATGATTTTCAATGTCACTCTCTCTTAATGTTTTATCTAAGGCGTCTTCCCTTTGTCTACTATCCTAAAAATAATATTTTTTATTATATTACTTCTTTAAATTTGGAGTGATAAGTAGTATCATTTTTAAAATTGTTATTAATTTTATTCAACTATTCAACTTCATGATTATTTATTTTAAATTCCTTCTCTTTTATTTTTGTTAACTATTCAAGCACTTTTTTTTCAAGATCTTTTCTATATGCTAAATCTTAAGTAATTGTAGATGCAAATTATTCTAATTGATAATTATCTACAGAAAGATTTCTATCTTCTAATTCCATTCTTACCTTATCTTTTAACATATCAGCATATTATTCTGTTATTTATCTAAGATCTTTCTGAGCTTCTAAGATTGATTATTGACTGTCTCTAATAATTTTTAGTCTATCTTAATCTATTCTTTCTACTTATTTTTCCATTTAGTTTAATTTTTCTTTAAACTCTTCTAATACTAATTTCTTAACTTTTTCAATAACTTCCATAGTTTAAATTTAAGTTGTTGAATTAAATTTAGCAATATCATCTTTAACCTTATTACATTATTGTGATTAAATTTATATATGATCATCTAATTTTCTATTTTCATCCATCATTTAATCACATTTTTAACCCCATTCATTATCTATTTCTCTTAAATTAAAAAAATGTGCTCTTTATTATTCTGCTAATTCTTCTTATTGCTTTTTTTCAAGATCTCTAATATTTTTCTCAGTTTCTTAATATCTCTCTTCTAAAGCTTTAGTAGTAAATGATCTTTATTATTAAATTTATTTGATATTATTATCCCATTTTTAAATTTCATTTTTTAATATATTTTTATGATTCTATAATTCGCCAGCATTTCTTTCTAATTAATCTTATTTTGCTTAGTTTCCTAAAAGTTTTTATCTCCATTATAAAGTCTTTTCTTCATATTCTTCTTTTAATTATAAACCTAAGGCTCTTTCTCTTTCAATTAATTTTTCTAAATGTTTAGCAACAGCTCTTCTTTCTTCCTCTAAATGTTATGCCATTTCCTTAAGTGGTTATCTCTATCCAGGTTAGTATCTTCCTTAATTTTTACCTGGATCTTACATTCCAGCCATATTCACATTGTCTTTATTCTATTTAAGAACTGAATTCAATTCTCTAATTGAATCTTCTGTTGCTCCATTTCCTTATATTTCAATAGATAAAATATAACCATTTGCAGCAGCAGCTGGTATTAACATTCTTACTCCTTGATTTCCCAATTCATTCCATCTCAGATCCAATGTTCTCAATTAAGGATTATTTCGAATAATATTTGCAAGTAATCCTGCACATGTTGTGTTCAATCTATTATTTTATATATCAATATGAGTAATTGATTTATTAATAGACATAACTTGATACAATAATTCAAGAGCTTTTAAATTATTGTTTGCACAAAGTTAATTCCATTATAAAGTTAAAGTTCTTAAGGACTCTTAATAAATACTAAAGATTTACAATGTTAGTTTTGAGTGCTTAAAATATTTCTATAAATCCATTGGGACTAATATTATTTCCTTTGAGATCAAGGATTCCAATATTTGGATAATTTTTTATTGTGTCTGCTACTAATTTTGCTCCCATATCCCCAATATACATATCATTTAATGTGACTCGACCAGTTGGACATTGTCTTTATAGAATAGGAACAAGAGTTGAAATTGAAGGTCCTTAATTGCTTCTACTCATTTGAATTTTAAATCGTTATAATTATTAAATAATTCTTATGTTTCTAAGAACAATTAACTTTTTTAGTTTAATATTTAATATATTAATCATGGACGATGATATCCCTGATTTGGAAGATTTTAGTGAATAATTATAAAAGAAAAAGGAAGCAGCTATTGATATTGGTGATTACACTAAACCTGTTGAGGATAAACCTATTCAAATCCAACAACCGAAAAAATAAGAGAGTGATTTCAAAGGTTTAAAAAAAGGTTTCTTGAATGATGAAAAGAAAGATGATGATATTATTAAACCTAAAGAAAAGAAAAATCCTTTAGAAATTAATGAAGTTTAAGAAAATATGAAATAAAATAATTATTCACAATTTGGATAATTCTTGACATAAAATAAAGAGGAATGGTTAAACTAAGATTTATTATAAAAAGTAAAATGATTTTGAATTAAATTTTAGATTGCTAACAATCCAAAATTATAAAAATTATTTACTAATCCAGAATATTTATCAGCTGTATAATAAATGTAGAGTAATCCAACTGGTGTTATGTAGAGATACAAGAATAATCCTGAATTTTTAGAATTAATGTCAGAATATATGAAAACTATGGGTGAACATTTCCAATAATTAAAACCTTAAAAATAAGATAAGCCATAATAATAATAATAATAATAATAATAACCAAAAATAATTCCTGTTGATTAGAATCCACAAAAAAAATAACCATAAACCTAAGAAGAAAAGATCTAATATATTATAGAAAATGATAAAGAAGTAAAAGCTGTATTACAAGATCCAAGAGTACAAGCATTTATTGAATATTTATAAAGAACAGGAAAAGCTGACTTTTAAGAAATAGCTTATAAAGACCCATAATTAATGTAGAAATTACAAATACTCATCCAAAAAGGTGTTTTAAATGTATAACGTATGTGATATCTAATTATTTATCAAAAAGAGTTTTTTCTCTGTTTGTGATTTCCAAATCTCTTAGATTTTGGAATATCAGATTTGTCTACCTTTTTCTTATGTTTAAAACTAGTCTCAAAATTTTTGATTTCTTTTTTATTATCTTTAGAATAAGTATGCACTGTATTGAGACTTTCATCAAATGACACTTTCCTAAATTCATTATTAGAATAAAATCTTTTTCTGTCTTAAGATTAATCATCTGAAGTGATTGAAAGATGATTGCTCTTAAGAATAGATTCTGTCTTCTGATCTTCCCATTCAGCAATTGGATCTGACTATTTACATAATTTAGTTTATGGACAAGTATTTTCCAATTGATTATCGTTGCTATATATTTATTCTTAATTGGTTTGATTGTTTAGCATAATAGGGTAAGTCTTTAAAATTTTAGATGATTGTTAAAATTATAGAAAAATAGTATTGATAATTGATAACTGTATGAAATAAAATAAAATACTGAGATATCAAGATCATGACTTATTAGAAATTACATACATAAAATCTTTATTAATTGACTTACTATAAGAATAATAATGATGTAAGAATTCCTTAATTAATTGATTAGATACAGATTTAATGTAGAGCAGATTAATTAATAATCTTTCATTTTATCAATTTAAAATAATTTCTTCTTTATTTATTCTGAATATATTCCTCAATTTTAACTTTATCTCTTATGGATTGTTAAGATTATATCGTCAGTTATTAAAATATCTAATTATATTTTAGTTATGACTTTTAGCAATTTCAAAATTTATATTTTTTTTATTTTTTATTATATAAAGAGTGTTAATGATAATGATTAGGACTTTTTAATACTAAACGAGAACTTTTTGTTATTCTTCTTTCTTTTTAATCAACATTGCAATAATTAAATATGTAACACATTATTTTTTTATTTATCATTTTCTTTAATATCTAATCTTGCTCATCCTAAACATTTTCCTATTAAATTAAACATAAATATCAAAATTTTTGAGACTATTAATTAACATAAACTCAACAATGTCTTAATGACTTTTAGATGAGGTTAAATTTTATTATTGTATAAGTAAATTGATTTATTTAATTATGATCTCTTTTTTGATTAATCCTTCTAAATATGAATAAATTTAATTTAATTAATGATTACCTTCGTGGGTGGAATAATTTTGATGATCATCTAAGTGATGGCTAAAAAATAGAAGGATTTCTTATTTGATTTGAAAGAGGGTAAGTCAATTTAAGTAGATCTCTCAAGTAAATCAGATAAGGATTATTGTATATTATATGTGCGTCCTCAGGAAGATGAAAAAAATAGTGATTTGGGAGAAATTTAATTTAAAAGTGCAGATGATACATATAAAATTGAAGGGTTTTATGAAAGTGCATTATTTAAATAGAAATCAAGTGAGATTAATTTAAAATGTATTACATCTCCATGTAAAGGCAGGATTACTTTAGTGAATAGTGATGTTATAGATATGACAACTTAATTGTAAGAATTGAGTTTGAGTTAAAAATAACCAGCTTTAATTGTTTAGATTATGCTACCAAGTTAATATGATAGATTAGTGGGAGAATTTAAATTATTGGATGATGAATCAGATAAAATAAAAATAGAAGTGTTTGATGATAGGGCAAAGTTATATGGAGATGAAGTTTAATTATCAGTGGCATTAAGTAGTAAGGATTGTGAAAAGTGCAAAGTATTAGTTGTCTTGAGTGGAGATTTGAATTTTAAAGAAGAAACTACAATTAGTAGTTAATTGCATTTATATAAAGATATATAAGATATTGAAATCAATTAAGAGATATAAGATTATCTATTTGAGAGGAATGAGAATGTATATAGAATTAAATTACCATCATCATACAATATAATCTAAATTGGTATTCTTGGTGATTTATTACCAATAATAAAAGTAACTGATAATAAAGATAGTGAGATTTTTAATTCATATGAATCTATTTAAATTTAATAAAAAGGATAAGCTTATCATATTCATTTAAGAAAAGCAGAAATTAATAATAATAATGAATTAATTATTAGAATAAACAAAGGAGGACCTTTAAAATATTTATTAGTAGTTAAAATTTTAGATGAACCAATTCTTTATAATAATTAAATTATTTTAGCAACTATTATCGAAAAAGGATCTCACATATACTCTTTTAAGACAAGTTATAGTGATTAAGAAATTAAAGTTAATTTAAAATACTTTGAAAAAGGAATGAATTCTATAAAAGTAGGAGAGTGTAATGGAATATGTACTACAAATACAGAAGATACACATAATTTAAGATTTCATTAACATGAATAAAATCCATCAGTTTTTTTAAGTCCTGAATGTTCCAGTAAAGATTAAGAAGGATTTTGCAGATTCTAAATATAAATTATAAGTGAAATGAAAAATACTTATCTTTTAACTACAGTAAATGAAATAAATCGTAACATCATTAAATCAGATATGCCATATAGTAATTTTTTAGAAAAGTAATAATAAGAAAATCTAATTGTTAAATATTAACATCAAATTGAAGATGTGGAATTAATATTTACAGTTAATACACATAATATTGTATATATGATTAGTAAAGACAGTAGATGTTATCCTGTTAGATAAGAATGTGCTAAATTTATTGGTGGTTCAGATCATTTAGTTATACTAAGAGGTGATTAATTAAAACATACTTAATTTTATGTAACTCTAATTGCCAGAGAAACTACTATTTATTAATTCTAGATTAAAGTCTATAAATAATAAGATATAGATGTTAAAATTATTAAAGAAGATGAAACTTATCGTGGAGTATTATCATTTATAAATGGATAATAAAAAATTCATTATTTTAGAATTATCATTTCAAATTAAATTGATTAAAATATTGAAATTATTTAAGATAAGGATACTTAACCAACTATTGAATTTGCTATTCATTCATCAAGAATGCAAGTAGCACTTCTTTTTAAAAAAGGTAATTAACTTCCCTCATTAGAATAATATGATTTAATTACTCAAAATAATTATCTATCCATTTCACCTCAAAACTAATTTTATACAAATTAAGGAAATTGTACAATTGGAATTCTTAATATATTTGACAAAGTTACAGATAAGGAAATTATGTATACTTTAACATACTCAACAAGTAGAACAGTTAAAACTTTACATATTGGTTAATAATTTGTAGATATGGCATTTGGAAAAAAGAGTAAATACTTTAGCTTTTATTATAGTCGAAATGCATCATCATTTTATATTAGCTTATAAGGTAAGGATACATCAAAATTAATTCTCAGAGTATCTAATGAAATCTCATCAAATTCTTAAGGGGAAATATATTTTAAAAAAGAGCATTCAAGTACTTTGTTTTTGGAATAGCTTCATTTAAATAAATTATGTTTAGATGGTTTGACAGAAGAGAATAACGAAGAGGAAGATGATTCAAATAATTTGTTGATTTGTTAAGCTTATGTCATAGTGGAGAACAAAGCTTAAGAGGATATTTTATTTTAATTGAATATATGGAATCCTGATGCAAATATAGAAATGAAAGATGGTTAACAATACTAATTTAATTTAGAGTATTTATCAAAAGAAACATTTTTATATTATAAAATTATATCTAATGATACTGATGTTTAATTACATATTAATTCACATTATGGTTATACAAGATATTAGATTGAAATTGTAGATACATAGAATTAATAGGCTGTTTCTTTGTATGCAAAAGAAGAGTACAAAACATAACATTCAAAAAGTATATATAAGAGTGCTTTCGAATTTTGTGGTAAAAATTGCTTATTAAAAATTTCATTGGAAGCAAAACAATAAGAATATAACATATCATAAATAAATAGAAGTCTAGATTTTGATGATTTGGTGTATGTGACTGTAACTTAAGAATTTATGGATATACAAACTGGAATTCCAATTTAAATTTAAGTGAATTAGCATTCTCCAAGAAAATTCATTTACAGTTAGATTAATGAGATATCTTAAGAATCAAAAATGAAATTAGTATTACATGAAATTTATGGAAAAGGAACAATTTGTTTATCATTTAATGATGAAGGCAATTAAGATTTAGAGACATGTGAATTTTAAGTGTTAGGAAATGTTTTAGAATTAACTTTATAATAAATATAATAGAAATTGAATGAACTAAAATTAAATCAAAATCCTTATATAATAATAAAAGTATTTTCATTGGTAAGTACTAGTAAATTATAATTGTCTATAGAAATATATAATGACAAAAATAATCATAAATTGGTATTAGGAGTACCTACAAGAATAAAAATGAATGCTTAAGAGGAATCATTTTATTAATACTTTAATATTCAAAGTAATGATGATTTATACTTTAAATTCATTAAAATGTAAGGATCAACATATATTGAAGTTAGTAGATGTTTAGATGATTCAAAAATAGCATGTGAATCTGAAATAATAATAAATGAATAATTGTTAGCAGGTTAATCATATAGTCAACATATTATACGTAAATCAGATATTAATAGATATTGTGAATTGTGTACATATGTTATAAAAGTTAAAACTACTGTTATCTCTTTGGATTTACTAATAGTAATTACTTCATAATTAAATTTTGTTTAATTACCTTAAAATATAGCTTTTACAGATTTTTTGGATGGTATTGATGATTACAACATTTATCATTATTCTTATGATACAGATCATCAAATAGAAATTTAAATAAATTAATATAATGGAGATACTTAGATGTGGATTGGATATCATGCAGATTTGAATACATCCAATTATCTTTATGGACCATATAATACTATCAAATAAATGAAATTAATGAATAAAACAGAATCTGTTTCTTATTATTAAGCCATCATACCACCTAGATAACATTTAGAGGAAAATGATAAAGATTACAATATAACATAAATATAAATCAATGGAAATTAAACTCTTATAGGACATTATAATGATGATGATATCTATATTATAGTTAAGAATAATTAACAAAAATAAACAAATTATTCTATTATTGTTACTCAATCTACAACAGGAAATGGTTAATTATTACAAGATGGAATAATTACATCTGCATATTTGAGTAAATTGACACCTACAATAACATTCTATCATTAATAAAAAGATTAGTAGTAATTATAATTATTTGTAAAAGTAAATCCATATGGTAATTTGAATAATTTGTCATTTGAAAATTATTTTAAAATTGAAATATCAAATGAAACTAATCCAACTAATTATACTATTATTCATGCTTTTTCAATTCGTAATAATTAATTAACATATATTTTTCCAGTACTTGAAGGTATGCTTACAATAAAAATGCATAGTTTATTAGAAATATCTGCTAATGATTTCAATCATATAGATTATTCTTTTAATCCAAGAGGAGATATTGTTCCAATTCCTAAATAACCCTAACCTAAACTTTATTATTTTTCAAATAATTATTTAAATAGAATAGATATATAGATAAGTATAGTTGGATAGGATGTATTTATGATAAATCAGAATTCTAATCAAATAGATATGATAGTTGATTAGAAACCAAAATATTATGAATCATATGTTTAAGGAGATGGTAAATTGGCAATTCAAGTTTATAATTGTCTTGGAGATTTAAATGTTTCCATAACTTAAGATTATGATTAATTTTTGAAGAATACTTATAATGGAACTAAGACAACTTTGGAAGGATAATTGACTGATATATTATTAACAGTAAAACCTGGTCCTATTTATTATTAATTTTAATCCAATAAAAGTGTTTATAAGTTTACTACTAAATTATATAATTAATTTGATAAAATTCCATATGGTTAATTACTTTTAGGAGGAGATGGATAAATTAATTATTTCTTTGGTAC